AAAAAAAAAAAAAAGAAACAAACAACAAAAAAAGTCTGTACAAGCAGTCACATCGCTCCCAAAGCATCCCCAGGTCCCCTCAGCCCCCTGCCAGCTGCCAGGGGGGGAGCCCCACGCATTTCCTCTGCTGCAGGAGGCAACACAGGGTGAGACCCTGCACGTTGGCCCAGAGAGGGGCACATGGAAGAAGACATTTGTCCTCACGAGTGGCCTGGGGGGAGCCTGCCTGGCCCCCAAGACAGAGCTGGGGAGCGGGGCATGTTAAGTCTCTTATAAACTCTGTAGGGGTTGGAGGGTCTTTACTGAGGCCTCGGTCTTAATCTTGCACATCTTATTCTAGTGTTAAGTACACAGCAGTACACCCACGTACAACACAAAACATCAGGGGGGAGTTCAGCTCTAAAAATTAACAGTTACATGTCAAAACAGTCAAAACATGTTACATGGTACCTGCGGGGAGCTCCCGGGGCGGGGAGCCAGGCTGGGGGGACCCCCGCACGCTTTGTACAAGCCTGGGGCAGCGCTGGTGGGTCCCGGTGCAGGGCAAGGCTGTGCAGAGGAAGATGATGATGAGAAGGATACTTGGTGCTGGGGAGCCAGACCTGGAGCCCCGCTGGAGGGCAGGGTGGGGGCTCGGCTCGATGGCCTTCCAGCCTCTTGGCCTTGGGGCGAGACCGAGGTCCCGCAGAAGGGACACTTGGGAAGAGAGGCGGACGCTTCGGTCCTTCCTTTAAAGCCAGAGTGTGGTGTCCAGGCGTGGTGGCAGAGCCCCAGAAGGCAGTGTGGGGGCCCTGCTGGTCCCGGGGAGCCGTGGGCCAGGCAGTGGCATCCCCATGAGAGCTGGTGTGGAGGCACTGTACCTGTCCCCTCAGCCCAGCTCGAGCTTCCCAAGGAGCTGCTGCTCCGCTGGCTGAACCCGCTCGTGGGCAAACCCGGCACACTGAGGCTGAGCGACCCCCGAGGGGGGTCCCGAGGGGATGGAGCCGGCAGCCCTAAGACCAAGCTGGCCCCAAAAATCAGGTCTCTGTGGATGGGAGATGACCCCCACAGTATCACCGGCTCCACTTCCGTCCTAAAACACAGGTACCGCAGCGCATCTTCACATTGCTCCCAGTGCTTCCAGGAGAACCCTCCCGGGGAGGAGCAGAGCTGCCCCCCGTGGGACAGGGGGTCCCAGCAGCCACTGCTCACTTCCTGGGGATCTGGACGCTGGCGTACTCAGAGCTGGCCTCCTCGGGGCGCGGGGCCGGCCGCTTGGGCGCCTTGCTGAGATGCACCATGTCCAGGTCGGCGTAGGTGAGGTTGTCATCGCCGCCGTTGGGGGCCTGGCTGGTCTGGATGCAGGCGTACTCCGACTGCTGGCTCATCTCCACCATCCGGCGGATGGTCTTCCTCTCCTTGTCAAAGTTCAGGTCTGCATAGGTCAGGTTGTTGGGGTCGGATTCCTGTGCGAGACACAGAGAGTTCCTCCTCTGGGAGGACAAGCCAGGATCTCCCTGGACCCACCACCCACTCGCCAACCCACAGCTCCACGCTGGAATCAATCCTACTGCAGCCTGTCCTGGGACACCTCACTCCCCCTTCTTGCACAGGAAGAACAGTGCCAGCAGCCACCATCCTGCAGCCACGCTCTACCCCGTGCTACAGCTTCAAATCGTGAGCCGCCCTGTCCTGGGAGGGGTGGGCTTCAGAGCCACCACTGAAGCTGCTCCATCCCCCTGTCCCAGCAGGGCCAGCCTGCCCAGCAATGCCCACGCGGGAGCCGCCAGAGCCTGGGTGGGATGGACAGATTGCTGCTGATCACGATTTAGCTCGCAGCTGCGTCACCAAATGCAAAACAACTCCACAAATAGCCTGGCTGGCTATCGCACAGCTGGTTCTCCAGGCAGCACAAACCCAGACTTCACTGGGAGGAAGAGGAGGAGGGAGGGCGAAGGCAGGAGAGACGCTGGGAAGCGGCTACCCCATTCCTGGGGCAGCTTCCCTTCCATCTCTGGCCACAGTGTGGAGACACTGAGATGTTTCACTGGGGAACCACCACCCTCCGCTCCCATCTCCGGTGTCTCTCAGCCACTCTCCCCCCACAGTCCCACAGGGTGAATGGACCCACCTGGGTTGTGGCCTCGCTGCTCTTCTCCGGCTCATGTAACCTGGAAGGGGGAACAAAACCAGACAGACAGACTGAGTGCCCTGTTGCCTCCCTGGTGATGGAGCAGCTGGGGAGGTCAGATGCAAACCAAACACCTTGCAGCCGCACCCAGCAGGATGGGTCCTGAGTGATTGCCCATGTGCCGGTCCAGCTGCCTCTCTGCTGGCCAGAGACCAGCTCCCACATGCCTGCTCAGCCCCACCACAAGCCAAAAATCACCATGGGGACAGAACCCCAGCCAGGGAGGTGGGTAGAGCTCATGCTCCTGCTTTCCCTTTCACAAGTTTTGGGGGTCCAGCTCTGTCCCAGTCCTGAGGGACTCTGTTTGTGGGCCAGAGGTGTCCAGCTCAGAGAGCCCACAGGATACCCAGTGACTAGAGAAGAACTGCACTCACCTGGCAGTTGGTGAGCTTTTACCTGCTGGAAGAGAAATAGTTTAGGAAAGAAATAATCCAGGAAACAACATAACCCCCCCCCCATTTCCC